AACTTGGAAGAACTTAAAGCCGCAATAATTCAAGAAATCGCAGCAATTCCACGGGAAATGACCGAGCGAGCTATGCGAAGTTTTCGTTTCCGCCTTCAAGCCTGTATCACCAACGAAGGTCGTCATATGCCAGAAGTTGTTTATCATACATAAATTGCACATCTTATGGAATGTATTAAATATAAAAAATATTGAATTAGAGTACGTTTTCGTGTTTTTATTGAACTTTACTTTCGTGTCATGACTTCTGCCGGACCCGTTACCTACATATGCTAATGAACTTTTTTAGATGTTCCTATTTTTTCTGAAGAAATTCAACCAACCAACAGCATTTTAATACATGAAGGTAAATTTATAAATATTTGACTAATAAATTATGATTATGTATATCACAGATAATTGTGTGCTCAGTGTTTAAAATATAACCAATGTTTCTTTAGGTGAAGAAACATTTTCCTTGTTCATTTTACTTTGAAATAGTCAATATATGTATGATTTTGCCTATATTTGTACATTTTTTTTTAGTTACTACAAATGAAAAAAAATTCTCCAATCAATAGTACAATTAATTGTGATGGTATATGAACTGGGACTATTCTTATCACCAAAAAATAATGCGACAACTGCTGAAAAGCTTAGTTTTTTGAAGAACCATCCAATTCATCCTTCAGGGGATCTAAATAAATTACCATTTGATCCATATACTTAGTATCATAGAAAAATACCTAATTTACAAATAGTTAAAAGAAATTGGCTATCGTATTCAATTATTATAAACAAATTGTACTGTTTTATATGCACTTGTTACAGTGATTCAGAAAGTCCTTTTAGAAATGGCATTACACCATGCAGAAAAACTGTTTATGAAAAAGTAGAAGTACACGAACAAAGTAAATCACATCAAATAGCTCTTATGGCTTACTTATTAGCGAAAAAAAATCTAGACATAGAATCAAGAATTAAGAAATTGCACTCTTCTGATGTGGAACAAAAGAGACAAGTATTAAAAAGAATTATTGATATTATAATTTTTATTGGTTCTCAAGGTCTTGCAGTTAGAGGAAAAAATGAATCAGCTTTTTCTCTTGAAAATAAAGATAATCATGGAAATTTTCTGGCATTAATTTTATTTTTGGCCAAGTATGATTTAGTACTCTCACAACATGTCACTCAATCTATTAAAGATAGTAAATGCAGAAAAGATTCTCAATCTACAAGTAAAGGTCGTAGAAATTTAATTACTTTTCTATCAAAAACTACTGTGGATAAATTGGTCAAAATTTGTGGTAACCGAGTGAAGTTGGCAATTAGTATCATGTTAAAGAGGCAAAAAAATTCAGTATAGAAGTTGATTCTTGTCAGGATATTGGAGTAGTTGATCAAGTAGCCATTTGTGTACGGTATGTCAGAAATGGTCTTGTCAACGAACGTCTGATTTCTATGATAGCAATTCACAATACATCTGGAAGACAGTATTTTGAAATTATTAAAAAAGGTGTTTTTTGATTTGGGAATAGATATGAAAACAGTTATCAGTTCAGCTTTTGATGGTGCCAGCAATATGTCAAGTAAATATAATGGTCTTCAAGCTGCTTTAAAAGAAATTGCTCCTAGTATGATTTACACACATTGTTATGCTCATGTTCTGAATCTGGTAATGGTTGCTGCATGTTCAAGTTGTTTAAAAGCTCACATTTTATTTGGGCTTTTGGAAAAAGCTGCTGTTTTTATTGGAAATTCATTTAAACGAGTATCAAAATGGACTGAAAATTTAAATGAATTGGTGGAAGGTCGTGATAAACAGAGAAGACTTCAAAAAATTGGAGTAACAAGGTGGTGGGCATAAGATAGAGCATTAGATACAATATTTCATGTTCAGCGGTATGTTGTGTTATTAAAAACGCTTCATTACATTGCATATAGTAACAATTTGAAGCTCAGTCAATTATGAAAACTTTTCTACAGTTTGATATTATTCTAACAGCTTTTGTTTTTAAAAAATTATTTATGTACACTACACCAACCAGTAAATACCTTCAAACTATTTCATTAGATTATTTATTTGCACATCAAATGTTAATAGGTCTTCAAAAAAAATTTTCAATAATGGGCCATAACTCTGAGTCAGCATTTAATGATATTTATGAAGATGCTTTTTCATTTGCATCTTCTGTTAATAAAAGTTTGTTTGTTATTGAAGATTTTCAGTTTGAAGTAGAACAAACTCTTCCACAGAAATGCAAACGAACTATTGGAAAAAAACATGATGAAAATGCCAGTGATGAATCAAATACTGTGTTCCTATCTGAAAAAACATAAGTTTAAAGTAAATGTTTATCAGGTGGTTTTTGATACAGTATCCACTCAACTATTAAATAGATTTCATGATACTAGTGATTTAATGCAAGACGCATCATCCAAAGGATGATCCAAGAAGATTCAATATATTCAAGGATAATAACAGTTTACCAGAAAATGCTTTAAAATCGCTATCAAAAATAAGTGGAATAAATAAAGATTGTTTAGTTGATCAATTGAAGTCATTTGCAACTACATATTTTAGTCAACTAAATAGCAGCCCATCATATAACTTAAATCAACTTCAAATGAATCAAATTCTGATTCTGAAGAAATATCAGATAACGAAGAAGAAAATTACATAAAACCGTGTGCTTTTGAAAATTATTGTAAGAAGTGTATACCATGTGTTTGCAAATTCTTAAGAGATTTTAATTTACATAGTAGTGCCTATACTGAACTTTATATTGCATATGAGACTCTCCTAACCATATCATTTAAACAAGTAACATGTGAAAGAAGGTTTTCAAAATTAAAAATGCTCAAAACTCGTTTGAGATCACTCATGGGTCAAAATCTTCTAGAATCCTTATTACTATTAAATTGTGAATCAGATATAATATTGAAATGGGATTACGATTCCATCATAGATGAACTAGGAAATACCTCAAATGAATTAAAAAGAATTTTATTTTAAATACCTAATTTATAAATTATAAAACTTTTATAATTTTTATTTGAACAATAAAAGTATACATTTTATGTATTTATATTTATGATTTCATTTTTAATGATATGTAAAATATGTAATAAGTAATAATCCAGTTGTACCTACGTCTTTATAAAAGTAAGTATTTTATCATTTTAAATATATGTATTTTGTATACCTCTTAGCTACCATCTTACAATATATAAGTTATTTTACTAATAAATTACTATCTTTATTGTTATATGTTGTCTACGGCGTCTACGGCCTACGGTATAATTATGTCGTATAACACACGTATTTTATCTCTACGTCATAATATTAAGGAATTTACCTATATATTTAATTAAAATATGAATAATGAATAAATAGGTACATAAATGTAGAATATAATTTTGTATTGAAATTTGAAGCTAATTTTTTTTATTCTTTAATAAGATAATAACCTTTAAGCCGCAATGAACATAGTAGTGTGATGGCCCATGAGTTCATAATTTATTGTAGGTATTGTAATTATTCATATTGAGTGTTAAGTATGTTAAAATACAATTAGGCAATTCAAGTTCATTTATCTTTTATAAGTAAATTACCCATTTAAATTTAGATATGCTTTTGTATGATTTTTCTTAATTCATTATTAATTTAAACGGGTTTTTTTTTTTTAATATGATTCTAAATAGGTAAATGTAAATTATTTTTTTAATACCAATTTTTTTGTTGAAATTATGTAGTAATATTTTATGATCCATAATATTTAATGCTTTTGCTAGATCCAAAAATACAATATCATTTTATTTCCAAATGGGTTATAAATATAGCTTGATATAGATAATTTTATAACCTACTGTTGCAATTATTTGTGCTTTTACCAAGTCTAAAATCAAATTAAGTACCTATTAGATTATGATTTTCAAGGTAATCGACTAGATATTCTTTATTATTATTTTTTGAATTGTTAGATGGTTGTGAGATTGGGAAAATCATTTCAATGTTAATTTGCTACCCATTTTGTGTATTGACAATTGACATTAATACATTATAACTTTTTTAAAGCATTTTGGTATATCTAAGTCTTAGATGTCATGAAAGCTAGATTAAAAATGTGCAATAGTGTACCTATGTATTTATTAGGGCAGGGATGGGCAACTCAAAGTTACTATAGGGCTAATTTTTAGAAATTTAAAATATAGCGGGCCAGAACATAGAAAGCAAAAAAAAAAAAAGGTCATTCAAAATATACCTTTTGAATAGCACATTTATTTTGTATATAATGAAATAGGACATAAGGACATAGGTTAAAATTCTATACCTATACCTAATGCAATTTGAAAATTTAGTGCGGGCCAGATAAAAAAGGCTCGCGGGCAGTGCCGCAACAATAGGGGAGGCAAGGTATGCAATGCATTCCCTGGCCAGGTTTTATGTTATGGTGAGGGGCCCATCATCAAAGCGAAAAATTAAGCAAGTTATTATTTAAAAAAAAAAAAAATAGAAAATGTACATTCTATATTTCTATAATAGATTAATGTCACAATCAACCGCCAAATGTTGAATAAATATCCGATAATTTTGAGACCACTGATAACTGATAATCTTTGTTTACATGTACGATGGTAATTCACATTTGAAAATTAAAAATAGGTTTATTTATAACTCTCAACATAGACACACACAAACAAACGCTCGGGCCATGGACACACAACACATTTATTATGATATAATATCAGTAATCAGTATACTTAATGCCTACTAAAATTGTAATTCGTTAATCGTTTATCTTTATGATTATTATTATTACATAAATTCTCGAATACTTCATGAGCATTGAGCACCTCAGCACGATGGAATAAAGAAATCTAGTAATACTTTAATGATAATATTGCGGTGATACTCGTTGAATTTGATCATTTTTGTGTGTTATACTTAATTTTTAACTTTTGTAACTGAGTCAAGTTTATTGTTAATCGTTATCGTTTTATTAAAACTTCTGTGAAGAATGATGAAACCAAAAGTCCTTAGTAGTGCGGCTAAAAGGAAGAAAAATAAAGAGCAAAAAGAAATTATTTTAAAAAGTAATAAAAAAATTAAAAATTATTTTAAACCGGATCAACTTGAACAAAGTAAGCTTTATTAGAAATATTTCATTTTTTTAGTTTAATTATTTTTATTATATTACAAATTGCAAAGCATACACATAACTAGATATAATATAGTAAACCAATACAATAAATTACTGCGAATATTGTAATTTTAGTAGCTACTAGCAGCATTTCTAACTATATTCACATTATAACTCCTTATTAAAAAAATATTGCATTACCAATACTCAAATATTGTAAAATACTGTGTTTTTATATTTTATGTTATGTTAATTTATAAAAAAATATAATGAATAGTTGGTATATGTTTTTCAAACATTTATTTTCAATAGTCTTACATTTTTTAACTAAGCATTTATAATATGTTACATTGATTTATATAACAATTTAAGTAAATAACAGTAAATAATCCATAAGGTTTTTAAAATTTATTTTAGATGAAAATAACCATCTAGGACATGGAGTTGAATCAGATATTATATTGGACACTGAATCATCTGCTATACATGGTAATAAAATAATATATTTTGTGTTAGCGTTAATATGTATAATCATGACATTTTATGTATTGCTTAGGAATTCTGTACAGTATCTGACTATTTTTAAATATGTGTATAATATTTATTTTTTTTACAAGCATTTTTGGGTATTTTATGCAATAACTAAGAATTTCTTAATATGACAAACCTATTTATTTTTATTTTACTGACTTGTTTTATTAAACTTATTTATTATTGTTTATTTTAATCAATTGTTTTTGTTTTTTTAGTGGCAAATACTACACTTGATTTGAATTCAGAATACCCTACTGATAGAGGTAAATTCTCTGACAACATTACTGATTCTAACTTAAAGAAACAAATCATCGCATATGGTCCATGTAAGCCAACAAACAAATATCTTTTGAAAAATGTCAGTTTAAAAAATTCTGGTCGTTCTTTTTCAATTGATTATTATCACTTGACTACTATAACTGGAATGAAAATTCCAAGGCAATGGTTATGTTTTTCAGTTATAATGAGTAAGGTATACTGTGAAACTTGTTGGCTCTTTGCCAACAGATTAAACGCAAATTTCAAGTATAACTGGATTCATGGTATATGTGACTGGCAAAATTTGAGTACTAAAATAATGAAACATGAAAAATCCCATCAACACTTAGAAGCTGTTCAAATACGATTACTTTGGATTAAAAATGAAACAATTGAATAAAATGTAGAAAAACAAATATCGATTGAAGCTCAATTTTGGAAAGATGTTTTGACCAGATTAATAAAAATTATTCTAAGTCTTACTGCTGGAAACTGTGCATTAAGAGGAAATGAAGGGAAAAAAAATACTGATTCAGAAGGAAATTTTCTACGCACCGTTAAACTTATTGCTGAATATGATCCTGTATTGAACAAGTTACTTTACAATGAAGAGATTAAAATAAAATATCTTAGTTGGAAAATACAGAATGAGCTCATAGAACTTTTGGCATCAAATGTTAAAAAAATAATCTGTGACGAGATTCGAAATGCTCAATGCTTTACTATAATAATGGACTCAACCCAAGATATCACAAAAGTAGACCAGGTTAGTTTAATTATAAGATATGTTATAGTTGATTATGAAGAAAAATCTTTTAAAATAATGGAATCTTTTTTGGGATTTTATCCATTAATCAAGCATGGTGCTGAAGATCACGTTAATTTAATTTATGAAATATTGAACAATTGTAAATTGGACATAAAAAGATGTAGAGGTCAAGGGTATGATGGGGCATCAGTTATGAGTGGTGCATATACTGGTGTCCAAAAAAGGATTTCAGATATTGTACCAAGTGCTTCCTACATTCATTGCACAGCTCATAACCTCAATTTGGTTATTTCTGATATTGCTAAAAGCTCTCAAAAAGTAGCTTTATTCTTTGATATTGTACAAGATATATTTCTGTTCTTTAGCAAGAGTGCACCTAGATGGACATCATTGGCTTTTGGTAAGAAGACCGCAGATCAAATAAGAAATAAAGTATTAAAAAAAGTGTGTGCCACTCGATGGGAAGCAAGACACAACGCGGTGCATTCACTAAAATTTAATTTTATAAATGTTTTAAAATCGTTAACTAATATATTATTAACAAGTGACAAAACTGATGAAAAAAATAGAGCCAAATCACTGAAAAAAATAATGGAATCATTTGAATTTGTTATGTTAATGACCATATGGGAAAATATTTTAAAACCTTTATCAATTGTATCAAAGGTATTACAATCACCACAAACCAATCTTCACAAGGCATGTGATTTATTGCAAGGAACAATTTTGTCAATTGAAAAAATGAGAGATGGTTATGATGAACTTGTTGTATCAGCTACTGGATTATGCCATAAATGGGGTATATCTATAACAAAACCTACAACCCGTAAAATATATTCAAAACAATACTGTGGAGAAATTCAAGGAGATAAACGATTAGATGTGCCTGAAGAAAAATTTCGTATAGCAATTTTTTATCCTCTCATTGATACAGCTTTATTTCAGTTACGTGATCGATTTAAAAGACTTCATTCCGTTTCAAGAAATTTTGAATTTTTACTTCCACAAAATATAGTTACTATGAAAGAGTCAGAAATAGTTAAATCTTGTTATGATTTCATATCATTTTACAATAACGATGTGACATCAGATTTAATAAGACAACTAATTTCATTAAAAGAATTTATTAAAAATACAAAAATTCAAACTATTCAAGAATTGACATCTTTTATAATTGAATATGATCTTTCATCTCTTTACAGTGAAATTCTCACAGCTTGTATTATATATTTAAGTCTCCCAGTTACTGTAGCTACGGCCGAAAGGTCATTTTCCAAATTAAAACTCCTAAAAAATTATCTTCGGAATTCTATTTCGCAAGATAGATTAACTGGCATAAGTATACTTAACATAGAAAAATCAAGGACAAAAGAACTAGATATTGAAAAATTGATAAATGACTTTGCTAATTTGAAGTCAAGAAAAAAAAACTTTTTAAAGTAAAATCTTTGTATAATACCTATAAATTATAATAGTACCTATTGATTGTTTATTTTTTGTTATTTAAATTTGAATATAATATTGTTTAATAAATGAATTACTTTTTATTAATTATTTGACTATTTGACTACTGATAACTGATGTATTGTTGGAGATTTGTTTAAAAATATGATGAACTTAATATAGCCACATTACTATACTGCTTGTCAAGCAGTATAGAGCTTGAAAAGTTTTAAAAATTTAGGGCCATACATTTTGTCTAGTATTAGGGATCTGCCAAAGGTTATCTGTGCACTGACTTTTTTTCATTATACTGTATAATGCAAGTACAGGGGCCCCATAAAGTTTTTAGCATCAGGGCCCTACAAAACCTAGTTGCGGCACTGCTCGCGGGCCGCCAGTTACCCACCCCTGTATTAGGGGAATAATGATAAATGATAAGGTTAATATGGTTTAATTAAAATCTATAATAATAAACTAATAAGTTATATAATTATTTGTCAAGGTACATAACATTATATTTTTAACTTAACCTAATAAAGTACCTAATTAAATAATTTTCTTTCATTTTTATTTTTTCTTTAATATCCACCCATATAATAAAGATGTAATATAGGTTATGTGTACAAGTATTTTAAAATTTTGTGGAGATAGACAACATGGACTTTTTTTAGAATGTTTTTGATTATTATATAGAATATAAGTAACTAATTAAAATACATATTTTTAGTATCTTTTGTTCTGATTGATAAGTTAACTAATATATATCTTATTATATGTAAATTTTTGATAGAACAATATTCTAAATATCATAAATACGATTAAAAGTAATCGTTCTAAACGACGAAAAACTCAAGAAGAACTGAGAACAATTACAATATTTATTCAACAATAATGTTGATAAATTTAATGACCAGTTATTCTACTAATTCAGAGTCCCTTCAGATACTATCTTCTGACACCGACATTTATCAATTTACAGTTATCTAATAATCAAAATTTAAATGATATTACCTGAAATAACCAACTAGCAATACGTAACCGAACCGAAGTACAACAGA